CCAGCCGCCGCTGCGGGAGCTGCTCTGGCCACACCATGAGGGAGCTGGCCATCGAGATCGGGGTGCGAGCCCTGCTCTTCGGGGTTTTCGTGTAAGTAGTGGAGCGCCGCTGGCGGGGCGCACCGACGCGGGGGCCCACCGACCGAGCCTCTCTGCGCCCCAACTTTCTTTGCTCCACCGCGTCCCCCGCGGCCTGGGTTCGAGGTCCCCCGCACTCCTGGTGTCCGAGATCTGTGATGTCGGACCAAGAGACACCCTTTCCTCTCCTTCCCGGGACCCTCGACGCAGAGCGACCCTCGCGCTCCAGGACTGGGACCTGTTTCCTCTGTCCCCACCACCGGCCAGGGAGCTCGTCCGCCCGCGGGTCCAGCCCCCTAGCTGGCGCCTTTTCCTGGCCCAGCACCACCTGTCCCGGGTATTTAGGCTGCTGTCCTGGACTAGAACGCGCATCCTAGCCCGCACCCTCGGGAAGTTTCCTCCCTCTCTGTGATCTTTCGAGGCCGCTGTTGACGGTCTTTGCTCTTGGCCCCATCTCCCATCGCCCCAGGGCCAAGCTTGGTCTCTTTCTGTGTCCCTGGCTCCACCGGCTCTGGTCCTCCTGAGCGTCTTCCCTGGAGGCGCTTGCGGTACTTCTCCCGCTGGAAAACTGTTGCCGCCCAGGCGAGGGGAGGCAGGGGCTGCAGCCAGCATGTGGGCTAGAAACACCCCGAGCTACATTGCAGTGGATGTCTCCTCCGGGTGCCAGGCAGAGGCCCTTCAGGGGCGGCCGCGAAATGCCGGGAAGGCTCTGAGCGCGTGGCGCCTGGGAACGGTGAATTTTAAAAAGAGGAGGGGGCGCTGGCGCAGCTTCCTTCAGAGATGACTGAGCTTCCTCCAGGCACCCAGGTACCCACCTCTTACCTCTTACCCACCTCCAGGGCCCAAGCAGCAGGGAGCTGTCGCGTCTCTCCCTTTCAGATGGGAGCCTAGACTCCAGCTCAGACTCACCCGGCATCACCCCTTCATCTCCTGTCACCTAGGCACCCACATCTGTATCTGAGTCTGCATTAGTGGGTCAGGGTCTGTATTTCCCTATGCCCAAGGATGTTTTTTGACACATTTTAAACATTAAAATTACATGAACTTTCTGGATTTGCGGGTATTTTTTTGAGGGGGAGGCACCAAAACAAACAGGAGCTCTCTCTTTGGTTTTCTGCCCCAATCGGGATTCATTCTTGGCAGATGTGCTGTGTCAAAGATGACTTCTGTTCCTGCAGCCCAGAGTATACACCTGGGAAAGAAATGTCTTTTCTTGTATGTGTTTCTTTACTGAGGATTAAATTCATCCAGAGTGTTTATTCACACCATCAGAAAAGGCCATGAGCGCCCCCAGATGCAGGCAAGCCCCCCTCTCCTGCCTTCTAACTGAACACTAGTGTTATTCACTGGGAGGAAGGAACAAGAACTTCAGTTGGGTCTTGATGCATTTGGAAAAACAAAGCACTTTCCCCTCCTCTTACTCTATTTCTCTACCTTTGGAATAAACATTAAAACTAGTGATTGCTCTGTGATCAGATGGGGACAGTTTCCAATTGGTAGATAGACTAAAATCCCATTATGTGATAGAAATGATAAAATAGTGTTCAGTGCACGGTAAAATGTAACATTTGTTGGGTGAATATATGAAAAATGCTTGAAATAAAGCAAAATAGGTACTTAAGCTACTTGCTTTGATTGCTGCTAGGAATTTGCCACTAAAAATGCATCCAGTAATATATAAAATATAATGTTTTCAAGTTTCCCTTTAAATATTCCCCCAAATATTTATGAGATGTTTGCTGATGTACAGTGGCCTGTGCCATTGAAACTTGGTAACGTCTGTGTGCTCCGGCTTCCTCCAAGGGTGTTATGTAAAAACCAGACAGGCAGTTTATAGTCTTTTCTCCAAAGTTCCGTTATGCTACTTCATGTATCCCTTCCCCAGCAGGATACACATGATGGCATTTTTGGATGATTCATTGCGTTTCATATCAAATCAGAAATGTTAAACAGTGTCCAACTGGTGGCTTTGACCTGTAAAGATCAGCTCTGGCACTGATGTGAGCTCCCCACAGGGAGATGTTCTTGTCATCGGGCAGATAATGACTTCCGGAAGGACACTAGGAGCCCAGACACAGATGACCCCTTGTTTTCTCAGATAAGTTTCTGGCGCCGTGACAAGACCTGCTTTGGGGGAAGTTGTGCTCTTCCTTTTGCCGGCCCTGGAACGATGGCACGATTCAGTGGGGTCTCCCCACCTCTCTTCAGGAAGGTGGTAGCTTCTGCAGTCTAGAGAGGTTTGGGAAGTCCCTCTGGGCAAGTTGAATCTGACTTCCCTGTTACAGTGTTCATATTAGCCCATATAATTTATCAACTATTTTGTGTCCGTGCTGTCTACCCTATTTCCCAGAATGAGAGACTAGTTGCTTTTTTTTTGGGAAAGTGTATCCCACCTCTTTATAAGCTCATGTTCTGCAAAAACCTCACCTGTATGTGGGGGCCTGCTCTCTCAGCACATCTGCCCTGCCTGGGAGCAGGGATCCCACATCCTCCCTAGAAATCCCGGTTTAGAGCTAATGAAATGTGTTTCGGACTCACCAGTAGCAGGAGTGGAAGCTCTCCCTCGCTGAGGAGTTTTTTGGTAGCAGATCAGGTGTGGCACTGAGATTTTGTGCATTCACAATTCTCAGAGGAAGCTCTCCCAACAACGCTCAGAGATGCTCAGTGCCTTTCGGGCAACCCTGTCTGAGGACCTCAAATACCTGGGAAGAAAATTAGTAAATAGCAATGCAGATCATGGCTGGCACACAAACTTTACCCTACCTGGATATGCATTGGTTATAGGAACCCAGTATTTAGGAAACATTAAAGTACAATGTGTAGCTTTGAGGCTACGTTTAGTATGTTGAAGCTTGTGGGCCTTGAGGTCCCATAGATCTTATTCAGTAATTGGGGACGGGCAGGACAGGGAGGAAGGGAAGCCCCCAGGGGTCCCTCTATCCTGCTGTCATCTAAGACCATAGGAGAGATTCAGGATGCAATTCCTTAAATCCCAAAGACAGCGCTGGACCTTGCTCTGCAGCTCTGAGGTGCTGGTTCAACAGCCCCGAGGCCAGGGGTACACTATTGCTAGTGTACTGTTCACCTGTATTACTGACACCAGTGCAGTAGCTCCTGGTCATTGAGGGCTTGCTACCTGTCGGACAGTAATGATGGCTATTGAATGGCATTTAACCCAATGAAGGCAGTATATTGATGTCATCATGGATTGAAGAAACCAAAGCTCAGTCAGATAAAGGCAGTGTCTGGGTTACAGGGCTTATAAGGATCTCTCTGAGATCTAAATTCAGATGCTGCAACTTTTTCCTATAGCGAGAAAAGTTGGATGCTTAGCCACCTTGCTCTAGGAGAAACAGCAGCCCAGCCTTGGTCAGTGGAGGGTTTGCTGTACAC